CCCCCGGCCCCAACTGTTCCTCGGTCCTCTTTTTCTGATCTGTTCCTCCGTGCCGCCCTACAATTCTCAAGACAGAGTGAATTACCAATCGCACAATGAGATCCCTTACCTGGTCTACCTGTCTGGCTTTGGCCGGCACCGTCCTCTCTCACGCTCATCACAACCATGACGAAGTCATCCCCGAGCAATTGCGCGAGGAGTTGCTGAAGAAATGGGACCAAGAGGTGTGAACCTGTCACCACTGGCTTTATTCTCTTAACCCAACTGATCCCAGTATAGTTCACCTTCTCTGGCATTGCCAGTTTCGCCCACATGAAGCCTGTCAAGTGTCTCGTCGAACCTGACGAGCGGTATGACATCGCCGTTATCGGTGCTCCATTCGACACGGCAGTCAGCTACAGACCAGGTACTCCTGACAGTTTCCTACACCACTCTACCCTCATAACGCCCACTTTCTAAACATTCCCAAACAACAGGCGCCCGTTTCGGTCCGCGCTCCATCCGCGCGGCCAGTGCCCGCCAAATGGCCGGAACCAGCTACAATACCCGCGCGGGAATTAACCCGTATCAATCGTGGGCAACTGTCAAAGACTGTGGCGACATCCCAATCACCCCGTTCGACAACGGCCTGGCTGAACGGCAGATGTATGAAGCCTTCCTGGAGCTGGGCTCTCGACCGGCCGTGACCCGCGCCTCCTCCACGCACGGCACGAAGGGCATCTCAGCCGGAAAGCCCAAGCTCGTCACGCTGGGAGGCGATCACAGCGTCGCCCTGCCTGCCCTGCGCGCCTTGTACCATATCTACCAGAAACCAATCACTGTGCTCCACTTCGACGCGCATCTCGATACTTGGAATCCTGTGCGGTACTCGGCCTACTGGCTTTCAGAGCAGTCGCACTTCAATCACGGCAGCTTCTTCCACAAGGCCAGCCGTGAGGGGTTGATTTGCAATGCAACCTCGGCACACGCGGGACTGCGCACACGGCTGACGGGCGTGGACGATAGTGATTACACCAACCCTGGTCCTGAGCAGGGCTTCATGCGCATCCATGCAGATGATATCGACGAGTTGGGCCCCATGGGCATCGTGGATCGGATCATCGAGCGCATTGGTCTTGACCCGGAACAACCGGTTTACCTGTCGGTTGACATTGATGTTCTAGATCCGGCGACTGCCCCAGGTACTGGTACACCCGAACCTGGTGGCTGGACGACCCGAGAGTTCATCCGGATCCTGCGCGGTATTGAGAAATTGAACATCGTTGGTGCAGACATTGTCGAGGTATCGCCTAGTTATGACAACAAGGGTGAGACCACGGCTCTGGCAGCGGCTCAGGTTGCTTTTGAAATCATCACCAGCATGGTCAAGGCTGGGGCAGGCGAGGATCTGGGCGGCTGGTACGGGCGCAAGAAACCCGAGGCCGTGATTGAGGTTGAGGTCGAGGTCGAGGACGTCGCAGTCGAGAAGGAGGTCAAAGACGAATTGTAAGATGCGATGCATGCGATGATGCTATATAATGAGTTAGTGAAGATGTTAGCAATATTATGCAGGTACATCCCAGCAATAACATGCCCCTCGGTCAATGGCTGAGCATCATATCCAACCAATCCTCTACATGTAACGCTATCTCGAATGATAGGGTGTGGGATATAACTTCGGTCATCACTATTGTATCTGTGTTATCTAGTCCAGGCCTCGTGAGAACTGTTGGTGTGAAAAATCGCACAGCAAATTGTGATATGCATGGTAACAGATTGAAGAATATGAAGGGGGAAAAGCACATTTCGAACCATCAGCCAGCCAAAAGACGCCTCGACTTCCAACGCCAGTAAGGACGATGAGAGTTTAGAAAAGAAGTGAAAGCGGGGGTGTAGAAGGAAGAGCTCTGAGAAGGCGGGAGGGAGATAAGATAGACAGTGGAAGGGAAATCGAATAAGCACGGAGAGATGGGTAAGGATAGTGGGAAGAGATCGGAGGGGTACGATTCGGGGCCAGTTGTACACGGCATCAATCGGGAGACGAGCTGATGGGCGATAGTGTAGTATATGTTGGTGACCCTGTTCTTGCTTGGGGAAGCCCTCAGCAGTTCCCCGGGTGCAACCGAGTCACGGCGGGTCTTGCACTCGGGTGTCATGGGCTGCGGGCTGCATGATGATATTCACTCAATGATCGGAGACAAAAACACACAAAAGTCTCAGGTCAGACGGTGGTCGAGTAAGCCAGCCCCTCCTCCGGATGAAAGTCCCAAAACTCCGTATTGTGAAATAAAGCAATCCGTTCCTCCAAAATCATACGACATGTCTGAGATGTCTTGACGACAGGTCTGCGATCTTCTGGCGCGTACCAGCCTGCGGTGTAGGAGACGTGATTGGTTTACAACACCACACATTTCTTAGACTTCTTTGGGGCCGGCTCAAGCGCGGCAACAATAGCCTTCAAGCGATCTGTCAGTATCGTCCAAGAACGTATCACAGGCGCCGGCAAGACAAACCTCATCAAAGACATCCTTGAGCTTGTATTGCGTCAAAGCAGAGCACTCCACATATTTCACAGCGCCCAACTCTTTTGCCATCCGGTCTCCGTCTTCCTTGCGAATGGGCTGCATCTTTTGGCGAGAAAGCTTTTCCCGAACAGCGGGATCATCGCGCAGATCGGTTTGAGTACCGACAATTAGGCAAGGCACACCGGGGCAGTGATGGTGGACCTCAGGAAACCATTTTTCGCGGACGTTCTCGAAGGAGGCGGGGGAAGTGACGGAGAAGCAGACCAGAAAGACATCGGTCTGGGGATAAGAAAGAGGACGGAGACGGTCGTAATCCTCCTGTCCAGCGGTATCAAAAAGGCCCAAGGTGTACGGTTCGTCGCCAATCCTAATGCGCAACCGAAGTCGCCTAGTCAGTTACCTGTTGCGAAAGAATTGTCGAGTTCATCGTTCTTGGAATCGGCCAAGGAAGGCAAGGAAAGGCGACGCGATCGAGGCCAAGATAGAGCGCAATTCGCAGGAAGCGTCTTGCGATGTCCGTCTCGCATAGGGAAAAAAAGGAGCCGACTTACATGACCGTGACAGCATAGTTATCGAAGACGGTAGGGACATATTCCGAGGGGAACTTGTTCGTTGTGTACGAAATTAACAAGCAGGTCTTGCCAACCGCACCGTCACCGACAACAACACACCTGCGAGTTGAGACAAAGGCGAGTAAGCAATTTGTTACGAAAAGAGCTTCGGATTCCAGTGCGCTTGAGAAAGGGGGCAAAAGTCGCAAGAGGGGGAAGCAACAGGGTAGATGGGGGGGGGTGGAGGGGAAGGACAGGGCGGGAGGAGAATCGTGGCGGGCAGAAAGGGATGGAGATGATAGCAGAACATACTTGATTGTGGCCACAACCATATTGTAAACCTAGGAATACCCAAGAAATTCACCAGAGAGACTGTGTTGACGCTCAGTTGAAGATTGTCGGAACCCGAGGGGAGGTGAACAGGAGAAAAGGTCGATGCGGTGAACAAGGGGGGGAGGACCGTGAGGGGGGGTGGAGGAAATTAGAATGAGAGAGTGATTAAAAGGGAGGGAGAAAGTTGAAATGGGGGGGAGAGGAGGAGGTCGTCGGGGACAAGGTGAGGCGGCTAAGATAGGACCGAGTAAGAGAACGCAGGAGGAGAGGGAAGGGGACAAGCCTAGGCAGAGAGATAGAGGTAGGAAGTTCACAAATGGAATGGATAGATGTGCTGAGTGTGGTGACGGCTTGACGGTGAAAGGATAGGAAGGGAGGGAGAACGGGGGGAGGGTGGAGGGAGGAGGGAGGGAGATGTGGATGGATTGGATGAGATGGGCTGGAGTTGGAGGGAGCCTGAGCCAGCCAATGTGGGAGACGGACGAGGGAAAGGAAAGCTGCAATGGGGCAACCCGCACCGTTAGTACTTTGTAGGTAAGGTAGGTTAGTTATCATGGATAGGTTTAGCTCCTGCTTTACCTAAAGTAGCTCAGTCAGTCAGTTTGAAGTAAACCTAGAGGAAAGCCGTCCATTACTACTAATTTCCAGCACTTAACTATCTACTCTTGTTTTTGTTCTACCCAACTTGCTCATCCCCTTTCTCTTTCCTTGACTCCCGAGTCCTGTTCTCTTCTTTCCTTAAGGTAATCTGGAACCCCCAGAATGATGAAACATAAGATTTGTCGGGGTCGGCGATCAAACCATCACATCAAAGACAGGGTCCAAAGTTAAAAGAATATGGCTGTACCAATATCTACAGACCTACAACAAAACATAGGAAATGAACAAGATCTTTGCAGTTGACGCACTGGTGATCAACGAGTCCAACCTCAAACCAAGACTCCTCAGTTTCGTGCTTAAGTTCACTTGTAGATGGTGCCGTCAAGGTTGGTGCCCTACAGACTAGTTCAGAGAGCTGTCGATCTGCGACATCAACACCCATGAGCTCATGTGTCAGATGATAATCAGTAATGCACGGGCGTTTGCGACGATGCTGGCAGTTAAAATGATAGGCTACAATCGATAATGCACAGATAGAGAAGCGAGAGGGATCACAGATTGAAGATCTATCTGACGGGCACCAAGGCGACCGGAGCCTTGAAACTTTGTCCGACGATGTAGGCAACAAGATGAAGCGGACAAAGAGTTGCTCCTCAAAAGAATCAAAGCATCTATATAGAGACTGATGGCTGTCTGCTGTAATCACACCAAGCAGCATCCATCAACCGAGGCGATCGATACGTGTAGACCTAAACCTAAAGTCAGGATCCTGTGCAATATGCTAATCTAACTCCTACCGAGGATTACCGTCACCCTGAACCAAACAGGCGAGACTGACAAGAAAAAATGGTCATGTCTGGTATGATATGGCAATCTGCCTGTAACACCAACCCTGACTGGACCAACCAAGCTCACCGCTCAGGCGGTTACACCTTTGGCTAGACCAGTCTTAGACAGATTTGTTATGCGCCGACGGAGAACAAATTATTGTGATTAACTGTAAGTAAAAAAAAAAAGGGCTCAGAGACACTGCTAGACACCACCTAGTAACAACGCTTACTCACAAATAAATAATTATATCAATATACTGTAACAGACGGCTATCTCTGGGCTTGATAAAGGGTACCACCCCAAATAAATCAATAATCCTTCCCTTCCTCCAGCATGTCTTCTGACAGTCTAAGTGAATCAGCAAATGCTAAGTTTCATGACTTCTCGCAATCCACCCCGGGATACTGACTGCTAACTCACTAGTGAACCAAGTATCTAATCAGCCTATCTATCGACATCACCCGTCGTGGCTTGACCCTCCCCGAGTCGCCGACGCTGCCATTGTTCTGACCCACTATGTTGAAATTTCTTTATTGAATTTTGAATATCACGCATATTTGTTGGCTCAGTGCTAAGTACAAGTATTCACATAGGTCGTCTAATCTAGTCATATCATCTATCTGAATCTCTCAAAAGAGAGAGGGAAAAAAAAAAGGCATATTCGTTCTGCTGGTGACCATTCATTTCTCACCTGTGCAGCTCAGGTTTCATAAATTCATGTACAATTGATGGCTGTGGACCAATCAAGGCTAGGGCAACAGCCTTGTCGGCCCCATCCACGGTACTGTGGTCAATCGATCGGTCAGGGCTGTCCAATGTGATGGCCGGGGGTCGGCTGCCTTTGGGGCCCCTAGTATGGTTGCCTCGCAGTGGCGCGCGGATCGACGGGAAAATGCTAAACGATGAGCATATTTTGCTGCTTCCCGTAGAGCGGTTTCGTAAACGTGTGTCTATATATACACAACAGTCAAGATGAAACATCTACGAGCACTCAGGTTTGTTTCGAGTGTGCCTCGCATTCAGGTTCATCCGCATCAGCTTCAGTGGCAACCGACTCGTGGTGCGGGGGTTCGCTCATCTGCACCCATTAGTCACATGGGCGCCAATGGTTTCATGGTGTTCATACCTTATCGAGCCGGTAGTTCGACATAAGAAGGCTCAGAGGGATTAATGGAATTGTTGCAATCAGCGCTAGGACCAGAAGCTTGTTCATCGTCTCCTGATAGGCTCGATTGATCGCCACTCGCGCGGGCGACCCCATAGGATAGGACAGTGCCTTGGTCAACTTTCCGAATATTTCACCCACGTCCGCCTTGGACTCATCGGGAAGGTACTGTTGCAGCTTGCGAGGAATGTGATGTGTCCAAATGGCGCCCGAGATGGCAGCTCCCACGGCACCACCCATTTCCATGGATGTGAGAAACATTGCCGTGGCGGCTGCAACATCTTGATGGCTGGCAGAGGCCTGAACACCCAGTTGGACAGGTACATTGAGAAGCCCACCGCCCGCACCAACTATCACCTGGGTCGCCAAAATCAAAGCGGGTGAGCTTCCCTCCCTGCGGTAGGTCAACATCAAAAAAATTCCAGAGATGTATATCAAGCAGCCGATAGTGACGTAGATGCGGTATCGTCGAGTATACTTGATCAATACTGACACTCCGAAGGCAGCAATAGTAGACGTGAAGGCAAATGTTTGAGTCACACGGCCCGCCGTGGCTACATCATAGTCCTGGACGACCTGGAGATAGGAATAAAGGTACGGCTGAACGGAGAAGTAAAATGCCACTTGAAGGTGTCAGTTGCGCCGGACATGAGCCCCGAACACCTTGCGGGAATCAACATACTGAAGTAGAAGAAAGCCAGGGTACACCCTGCAAGCGCAGTGCGCTGTTTGAGAAGATGTAGGGAAAGCAAGGGCTTGGGGGCCAAATTCTTCGAGCTTTCCCAGGCGGGCAGAGCGCAGAGACAGACTATTCCGACCACAATCATGGCGATAATGCTGTTGTTCTTCCACCCATTCCTGGAATTGGCGGCAAGCGTTAAGGGAACCAGAATCAATGTCACCGCCGCCGATAGCAAGATCAGGCCAAACATGTCAAGATCATACCAAGTGTGGCGAACGGCGGCAAAGAACCCACGTCGGTGAGTGCTCCTGGGCTTTATGAGGTTCAATCTCTTAGCCTTACGCTGATTCAACAAAAGTGAAAGCGCGAGAGGGAGAAACGAGGCCGGCAAAATAATCGACCACATGCCGTAACCCCAACGCCATGAAGTATGCTCAAGGACTGCATTTGCAATCGTTGGCCCGATCCAGACCGTCACCAAAAAGGGGAGCTCTGGCAAGAGTGCGAGCAGTGCACGGTTGAGTAAGCTACTGCTGTCGGCGATGAAAACTTGTTGCAATATCTGCAAGCCAGTCGAACCCGCAGAGTAAAATATTTGTGCGGACGCATAAGTCTGAACATTCGTTGATGCAGCCATTTGGATGTAACCTAGAACGTAGATCAAGATACTGACGCAGAAGGCCTCGAAGCGGCCAAACACATCAGCGACTTTGGCCATGGGTGGCTTGATGACAGCTGCAATAAAGGGTCAGTACTGGATGTACCTAACTCCAGAGAAGTTGTACCGACCATTGACCACATTCTGGACTACCAGAACGGTGGAGATCAGCGAATGCTTGCTGAAAGCGCTGGTGGCATATGCCGAGAGGGACATGACGGTTTGGCCCTCAAGTGAGGTACAGAATGCCATGAGGAATATACTTCAGCATGGTCAGTACAGTGCGCGCGGGAAGAACCTCAAAGTTTTCCCAATCGCCGGGGACACAAACCTGATATACGCTATGATCAAAGATCGCGTAGTCCATGTCAGATTGATTGCCTCGATCTTCCTAACACCTTCCTGTATAGACTCCCCCGAGGACTCTACATCGCTGTCATGTCCTCCTGCCTCATATCCTGCCTGGAGAAGATGTTCTCCTTCCTCATCGTTGTATTGTTCCATTTGGTCGATTGTGCCATATGAAACTTTCGAGCGGTAATCGAGTAAGGGCATCGCGGCTTTGCCGAGCGAAACGATGTATAGTCGAGTGGCGTGGTCAAACTATGGGCAAGGTCCATTTATTGCGACCGGTCGGTAAGGTCCTCGTTGATAGCTGTGAAGGCGAAGAGGAAACGTGAACAGCAGGCCAGGGTAGTATCAATGTTGAAGCACTGGACATCGAAGAGGAAACGTGGTTGACGACTCCCGGGAGGCTGCGTGGACGGGGAAGAGTATCTGCGACCTGAACCAGCCAGATCCCCCGACGAGAAAAAGCAATCAACTGGCGCCCAACGGAAAAGGGGTATTCCAACTAGAGCAGAGGCTAGGAACAAACACCGAGGAGGGGTATAGGTCGGAACGACAAAGCCAGCAAAATGGCGGACACTGTATCAAGATCAGACGGGTTTGGGTACCAGTCCTTCGTTAGGTGACCGGATGCCGAAAGTCAAAGTCAATACGCAGCGAAACGCGTGGATCGCCAGATCTGTGGTACTAGAGGAAGCACAAGGGGCTGAGCTCCAAGGCTGCCAGTCACAAGTGAGACGCTCACGATGATTCACACCACTGACCACGATCGACAGGCCGCACTTATGCAAATCGGTGTGGGAAGCCAGGAATTAGCCTATGGGCTGAACGCCCGTGGCCCAGAAGGGAAGTGTGGCACCAGTCGAGTTACTGCAGCAAATAGATACTTGGATGAGAAAATTCGATTCTTGCTTCTGTCCAGCACCAATCGCTGGGCTGGATACCGCCTGAGGTTGCCTGTCGGGCAAGTTGAGTGGTGACAAAAGCTTGTGCCTTGCGCCCCAGGCAGTCATTGACAGATACGGGGTTACACGGGAGGTCAACCAGAGGAGGAAGGGGTTAATGAAATATCGTCAAGACTCGGTAGGTACCCCTGGCCTTACTGCAGAGAAGGCTTCGACCGCAGGAGTTCACCCCAAAGAGGCGTGGTTTTGCGGAAGGTGAGTGGAATGAGAAGGAAGATAGTGTGGCAAGTGACCGGGATGTCGAATATTACGCAGTGTAAGAGAACATCAGATATGATAAGATCACCTGGTCCGGCGGTCGGACCGAACGGCAGGGTGAGGGGAAAAGCCGGGATCAGATGATGGTAGTCAGGATAATCGGTGGCCCGTCCTCATCCTGGGCTTGAGGATCTCAGGGAAAAGTTGGGCCCTAGTCACTTAATCTCCTTTTCACATTCCTATCCGACTCTCATGGTAAGAACCGCAATTTATACTACGCTGCAACGGGGATGGTGGTGCATGAATGTTTAGGCGGGCGAAGTCAACCTCTTTCTTCCCTGTCTGACCGCCTGGCTGGCTGACATTCTGCTTGGGCAAGCAAGAATGAAGGTGCACATCGCCGCTCCATCCGCTTCCGCCCCCTTGCAGGCGTGCAGACACAATAAACCTGTTTAGAATTGGTCTTATCGACCCCAAATCCTCTCTCAAGCAATGATGACTGGAATGCCGCGATACTCTCTGCATGACTCGCCCGCGTTGCCCAATCCCAGAAGATGTTATTGTCATTTCACCTCATGCGGCTTCGAGCCCTGATAAAGTGCTTAGCATAAATTTCCCCTCTTCCTCAGACCCATTCGAATCAAAGACTGAAGCCCGGACCCATTTCCTGATTGGGCTGAAGCAACACAAACCCGCCTGGGGAATAATGAATGACTCGGGAACAACCGCTCCGTCCATCCCAACCTGTCACAGGAGGCTGACCGTCTACCGCATCACCAACAGACCTAGCAGGACGAGTACGAGGGTCAGGAGTCGACATGCTCACGGATCATTTGCCAGCCATTGTAATATTTTATAAGTTCCGCTGAAGCCGCTGCGGTTGTAAGGAGATCTCCATGGTTCTCATTTGCTGTGGCGGTGGATGCAATTGTTCGAGCTACGCCGAACCTTAAAACAATCCACGCTTACATTAATGGCTACACAGATGGGGCCTCCGAGTCCGAATTTGCAAGACCCAATGTCGGGGGATATGGCTTGTGTCTGTACAACTTAAGTGTGGCATTTTATAGCGTGGCTCTAAAGGCGGCTCGGCGATTTTGGAATAACATTGATTTGGTAGATCTCGGCTCTTAATTCACGAATAGGGAGGATAGGAATAAATAGGGTTACAACTTGGAAAGCTCACCTTTACTCCACGATCCGCATGTGCCAAAACGCGCGTCTTCGGTTGGCGCAACAGCATCGTCCTCGTTTCCTCTGCTTGATTACTCATTCTACCCTGCCCAGTACAAACGCCCTCCGTACTCGTACACACAATTTTAAAGACATAAGAGCGCTTCTTGCTCATCCTCTTCGGTCATGTGACTTGGCTTTTCTGTCGAGCCAGCAGTCTCACATTGAGTTAGTGGCTTCACAACAAGACATATATTGTTAAATTGAGGTCGCTTTGCCTCCAGCATGTCCTCTAATGGCCCTCAACGATCGATTGGGATATCTCCCAACAGATGAATATTGAAGAGCGCCTTGGTAAGTGAGTCGCATATCTCACAAATTACTAGTAGCAAAAGAGCAACCAGCTTGGCGTCACGAACTCAAGCACGCAGACAGTGAGAGACTCATTTTACCTAGTGCCTATCACAGCGCATGCCGCAATGTGTCAGCACTGATTGCGACCAGTCGGACATATTCTCATCACACAGGCTCATCCAGCTACGAAAGTGGTATCTATTCGCTTGAGACAAACAACTATGGAAATCTGACCACGATGATTCGAGCAGGTATCACTAATTTTGTTGCATGCCTGGCAGCAATATTTGTGCCACCAAAAAGAAAAAAATTCAATCGGGTGTCTATAGACAAAATCAGGTTACATTAAATGAGAGGCCATAGCATGTCTATCACTCATTCAAGTCGATTATCAGATGACCGAAGTTGACGATCAACTCCTCTCCTTCGTTCGATGGTTTCGCAGCATAAAGTCCAAACCAGAAGTCCTGAACGTTTGTGTCTTCGAATACCCAGGTGACCTCTCGAAGGGGAGATTTTTGAACACCCTCGACTAAATAGATCCACAAGCTGTTATCCGACTCTCGGACAATCTCCAAGGTAGCTGCTCCGCCACCTGACGGTACGGGTTGCAGACTCCAGTCCGCCCAACGATCCTTGGCGACGATGCTCAGGTGCGGCCTGCCGTTGGCAAGCTCAATACCGGACTTGACCCATTTCCGGGTTCCGTCAACGCCATTGAGAACCAGGATCACGCCTCCCTGGTCGTACTTGTCTTTCCAGAGAGCATTGAAAGCAACCCTAGCCCGTTTGAATGACTTCACTGGGACACTCCGGTATAGGATGGGTGCGTTGAACGATTCTGTGGAAGGAGGCTTCGCCCAGATATCGGTTGAGGGGCTCGCTTTGATGGAGAATTCGGAGGGCAGGTTCCCGTCACCAGGGACCTTCTCGGAAGAGTTTGCAAATTTGAAATCGGTCATGATCGCCTGCGAGGTCGTATTCGTAACGCGCAGCGCTGAGTGAGGAGTGGTATGGTTGGGAAGTGTGAGATACGGGGGCAGTAGAAGAAGATAAGGTGTCTAGTACAGAGAGAGGTATTATGAGGAAACATGAATGAAGATAGCACAGTTGAAGTGAGATTTGGGAACCGCAATATGAATGAGGGACCGGAGAGCCATGGCCCAGGCCCTACGTCACTGGGGGATGAGCAGCTCCACCGTCCAGAAGACGCTGGGTCAAAGCTGGAGAAGCATCCCAAGGAATCATTACCCTCTGCGGTAACCTATGACAGCTATGACTCCATCTCCGGTGGGGTTATCGGAGCTGTCGGCGAAGATAGGAAGCATGGCAAACAACTTGCTGCATCAGCCAGAGTGGAAGACCCTGTAGGGCCATATGTGAACAGCCCAAGGCGGCAAGCATGCAATCGGCTCAACTCTTCGACCATTTGTATGGCTTGCAGAAGTCCGTAAACTTACTCAACATTGCAATCGAGCTGTAACTGTTGGATCGATGTTCCAACTCTTGGCGCAGAGGTTGGAGGTAATTACATAAGCGAAATCCGATAACTAACTCGAGGCTTTGCGTTGTCGATCGGTTAAGCACCTCGAAAATGGCAACCAGCGTCAACTCGATTGACGCTGATTAGGCACGACGTGTCCCGAAATGGGCTGATCGATGTTTCTCGCCTATCTGTGATGATTCTGTCTTCGTCATGTCTGCTCGTCTCCTTCATCCCGACGAGTATGAGCTAGAGACTCGCTCATCGGCGGATTCTCAGGAGAGCTTCAATCTCGATGAGGCCGACTTCGAATCGCAAGTGCCTCCGCGACCCAGACGGATCTTGCGAAGGATTCCCTTTTTCTCGAAACTCTTTTCGTCGACCTATTCTGGCTATCGTCGCCTGAAACCCTCGAGACCGCTCCTCTCGGTTTCAAGACGCCCTGGTTGCTACCGCCGCTTGCTTTTCCGCCGCTGGTGCTTTTACCTCCATGCAGTCGCAGGCATCATTCTTGCCCTAATCGTCCTAACGTCGATTTTCCGGCCCTCGTATACCCGGTTGCCGCCGCATTATTTGTCACTCCGGGACGCAGTGTCGCAATCGACCCAACCCGGCCGTGGAAATCCCCGCAATGAGAAAGTCTTCATTGCTGCGAGCTTGTACGACCGCGACGGAGGCTTGGCACAAGGGCATTGGGGAAATAGCGTGCTACGACTGATTGATCTGCTTGGACAAGACAATGTCTTCTTGAGCATCTATGAGAATGACAGCGGACCGGAGGGCGAGCGTGCGCTCCGTGGCCTGGAGGAACAGATCACGTGTAGGAAATCCATTGTATTCGAAGAACATCTGGATCTGGAATCTCTTCCAAAAGTCGTCGTTCCCGGTGGGTCAAAGAGAACGAAGCGCATAGAATACTTGGCTGAAGTCCGGAATCGAGCATTATGGCCTCTGAACGATGAGCATGAGGTGCAATACGACAGGCTTCTCTATCTGAATGATATCGCTTTTGACCCGGTCGACGCACTCCAGCTCTTGTTCTCCACCAATGTAGCCGACGATGGCATTTCTCACTATCGAGCCGCTTGTGCTATTGACTTCATCAACCCTTTCAAGTTTTATGACACTTACGCGACCCGGGATCTGCAAGGTTACAGCATGGGGCTTCCTTTCTACCCTTGGTTCTCGACCGCAGGCGAAGGCCAAAGCCGACAAGATGTTCTATCCGGAACAGATGCTGTGCGGGTCCGCAGTTGCTGGTCGGGCATGGTGGCTTTCGACGCCCGATTCTTCCAGGATTCTCAGGAAAATCGAGGCTACAAAGGAGTTCAGACTCCCGCTCGATTCCGTGCTTCACACGAAATGTTCTGGGAAGCATCTGAATGCTGCCTTATTCACGCCGACATCCAAGACCCTCAAACAAATGAAGATGATAGCGGCATATATCTCAACCCATATGTCCGTGTCGCCTACGATCACAGCACTCTGTCCTGGCTCGGTACGACGCGACGATTCGAGAGACTGTATTCTTTCATTCAGAATCTGGGTAATCACCTCGTTGGACTGCCGTGGTACAATTCTCGTCGAAATGAGGTTTCTGGACAGGCTGTACAGCAGAAGGTCTGGGTTCCAGACGGGAAGGAGAACGGGGGTGGCTCGTTTCAGACTCTCGACAGGGTCGCAGGTAACGACGGCTTCTGTGGACGCCCAGGACTCCAGGTTATTGTTGAGCATCGTAAGGAGGGACAAAAAGGGTGGGAAACCATCCCAATGCCATCCTGAAATTGTTCTCTTTCTTTAAGACGTCTGATTCTTCAGGGTAGCTAGATCGATCGATTAGCATTATTGGTATATGAGATACATAACTCTAATCGCAACATGTACTATTCCTGCCTTAGCTTGACTAGAGTAATCATTCACGGCACTCGATTTCGTGTTACTTGATATGCTATCATAAACCACCACCGCATGACTCCGCGTTTGCTCACATGTGGGTTCCCGTGCGAAAGCCTCGTCTTCCCCTTTGCAGCAGTCAAGAGAACATTCACACAGGTCACTAGGCTCCTTCTGAAAACACTATCAGGAGCTTTCGGGGAACCTGTCGTAGTTTGTATACCAATCACATGGCCTTCCGGTGGAAACACTACTGACTTCAGTCTCACTCTTTCGTCCACCAACCGCGTAACATTTTGGTGATCATAGCTTCTTCTCTTGTGAAGATGCCCCCAAAATCCTCCTCCCTCTTGCCTTCAGTGAATCGCTACTCCCCTGGAGACATGCAGTTCGCCAACCGTGTCACAGGTGTTATCTACGGGGTGATAGACTCTCTTATGGACCGGGTGGCCATAGCCAGTCTGGAGGACAGCCGCCATGCCCCTAAGGCTGCAAACTGGAAGGCAGTGAAGACTTCTCGTCCCCGTCCGGTCTGGCCAACTTCCTGTCCTCTTCTATCTCCTTCTCCTCCTCTTCCTTCTTGTTCGTCGTCTCCTTTCCAACCTTCCAAAATTCCCAGTATTCGGGCTTCCAAAGCCAGTTCCCGTTTGTTCCCTCAATCGGGGCGTGTTTCTGTAAACTGACAGTCGTACTGTCAACAGCAGGCTTCTCCACTCTCACCTGGCAACCAGGAAGCTCAACTCGTCGCTTCTGTCAACACTCTCAACACGTCTCCTGTTGCTTCGGCCTCATCCTTAACACCGCCCACGTCGCGTTCCCATTCGACCAAACCCCTGAACACGTCCTCGAGCTTGTTTACCCAGCATAATCCTCATATCAGGACAGACAACACAACTGCTGAAATGTATTCCGTCGCCGACGTGGACGATACCGCCGGCTTCATGGCTGCTGCGCGCGCCTGGAAGCCGGAGAGAGAATACTTCACAACATCCTCTCAGGCTGAAGAAGCATCTGGCGATAAGGATGGCCTTGAAGATAACTCTGGTGATGCTTTTGCCCAGGACTACAACGCGAGTGCTGGCACTGACGACTTTGGTAAGTCACTCTCAACCTCAGTATGAGAGCCATATATGCTGAAATCTCTTTCTATGTTTAGCTGGCACCCCAGGTGACGATGCTTTCGATGGATTCGCTCCCCCCAAGTCCGATGCTGGTGATCTTGAAGCAGGATCCGAGATCCCGGAGGCAGCCACAGGTTGGGGCGGGGCTAGTGACACCGTGAAGCAGCGTGTTACTGTTGCCACTGTCAGCTGGCCCGTTACTCAGTCTCCCACGGAGGAAGATCGCGAGAATCTTACTACCTTTAATTCTTGGGGTACTCCGGCTGCTCGGGACAAGCCCGGTACTACCTGCCCCCCACTACTTATGACTGACATGCAGACTAATACATCACGCTCAGCTGCTCGCACTCGTCGTATCATCATCAAGGGTCTTCCCGCTGCCTGGTGTAGCCCTGCTAAGGTTCTGTCACTTATGCACGGTGGAGTTATCGACAGCATTAATATCACTCCCACTGGCACCGCCCACATCTTGTTCTGTGAAGCCGACGCGTGCAAGGCGTTCTATGACAAGTATCCCAACGGCATCGGCCTGAATCGGGACAGAAAGATCACTGTGTTCGTTGAGTTGGGACAGGAGGTCGATGTCATCAGCTCCAGCCTTGAATTCAATCTCTCCGTTGGGGCTACTCGTGCCGTCCGGGTTGTTGGTGCTCACATGAACGTCAGTATGCAGCAGCTGGTCAAGTTGGCTACTTCCAAGAACGGAAAGCTGGAGAAGATCATTGACACCTACGTGCCTGGCGAAGTACGTTGTTTTACTTCAACATGTAATACGTCGACTAACTGTCAACTCAGGCTCGTAGCATCGTGTTTCGTTTCTGCAGTATCGACGACGCTGTCCGCTTCCGTGCCGCATTCGTTCGCGAGACTGAGTATGAGCAGTGCAATATTCAGTATGCGACTGACCCGTAAGTCATTCTACCCGTGATACTATGCCTGTGCTGAACTGATGATCTATAGCTGCGAGGTCGCGACGGGCTACCATGCGGACTAGGTGTCTGGGTGTTGTGTGCTTATGGGTCCAGAAAATCATGATCGTGAATCTACTTTGATACACGCGTCATCTCAAAACCTCACCATGTGTCCCAGGAAATTTTTATTTTGTCATGTTGTAAATCAGGATGTTTTCATCCGCTAATCGCCCAATTCATTAATGCAAGCGCCATCTGTGCACCTATCTTGTATGTCGCATCGAGAAGTAAGCCTTAACCTAATTCGAGCAGAGGAGGTATCGAAGTCGTCTTGTAGCAACTTGTTCAATCTAACCCGCTCTTCCAAGGCTCCTATTCATTGATCCTAGAGAGGTACCTCCATCCCGCAAGTCATGTAGAACTTCTGAAAGTATATATCGGGCACCACCTCCTCCAATCCTCATCAAATTTCTATCACAACCGAACCAAGGCAACACCCACGAATTCCCTACATGCGTCTCCTGATTATTCCCTGAGTCCCCCCTTGAAAACACCTCGACCATACTGAATGCCAGACGCAAACTCCATCCCGAAACCCAACGTCTCGCCATGACGAGGTCCAGACGCTTACAATACGATATACGATACCGGAGCTGACAATACCACCCGAGACCTTACCAAGCCATACATACATACATACATACATACATACATACATACGCCGCAGTTTACCGGGATGGAGACGCTCCTCAAAGTCCAAGTCCGAGACCTCCACCCCGGGCAGTTCGGAGTTGACAGACACACTCCACCCACATAATCCAGCACAGGGCCAAATAAGCAAAGCAAAGCTGGCAGGCAGTCCTTCCAGAGGCCCTACCGATTCGTTCAAATTACTCGTACACATCTATATACGGTCCCATCATACGCGTATCGCTGACTTTCCTTCCTTCAAAAACCACCTGGAAGAGGAGGTACGGTAAGTATTACATACGTAGTGATTGCTATGGCTAATCTACACCTACAGAGAGTGCAAGGTTCGGCGTTTGTGGTAGTTAAGGTGGATACTGGTCAGTCAGTGAGAAGTGTGGTTTCACCGACGGGCGGAGTTAACGACCGTAAAAAAAAAACAAAAAAGCTCGGACAGTCCGCCTTTTTCGCACGCACGAGATGTGAAAAAGGAACTCAGTAGGCCGGGGAGGGGGGGGGGGGGGGGGGGGGGGGGGCCTGAGTGGGCTCTTATCCATCATCCATGGTCCCATCTGACGGACGGGAATTCTAACACCCGAACAGCCTTGAAAAGTGGTTTCCACGGTTCAATCAGAAAGCTTCCTTTCCTTCCTACTATGGGATTTTGTTTTTTTGGGGAGAGGTCCGAGATCCGACCGGCGGCGATGGCGGCGACGGGTGGGCGGGCGGAGGAGATGGAACAGTTTTGGGGGTTAGAAGGGAAAGGGAAGGAAGAAAGAAAAACAGAAAAAGAAAAAACAAGGAGGAATCAATGAATGAAATGGCATCGACTAGAAGCTAAGATTATTTTTCCTTTTCTCTTTTCGCTGATTGGATTCGCTATGGTGCTTACACATGCTTGACTCATTCACAAGGGGGAAATTCTTATTTCGATATTTCTTCTTGATAAGGACGGGGTTTATATCAAATCAAACCTTCTATCCCAAGCCTCTCGGAAGCACACAATAAGGAAACGCGTCAAGAACCGGCAAAGGCAAGAAGACCGAAAGAGTAGAATGGAGAACAATCCGAAAATGTAGTTATCTTGCGGTTCTCTGGTGAAGGTGGTGGTGGCTCAACAGCGTCGCGTCCCAAGGAGGTTAATCTAGTCCGATCCCCGGTCAACCCCCGGTAAAGTGGCTACCTGGCACAGTGGCACCTATTGTACAAGTTAAGCAGAGCACCACTTACTCCCTACGGGGTACTACTGGACTTATCTGGAAGTACCGATGGTTGTCGTCCTCGGTTAGGTCTACCTTACTTGGCCATGGTGAGTCGGTGACCGACCGAAAAGAACCTTTTTGCCTGCCTCGCTAGAATGGAGAAATCAGGCATGGATTCTCCGGCACTCACTAACAGGCAGACAGAGTTTTGAGCGATGCCAAGCGTATCTTTCTCTCTCAGTTTTTCCCTCTTCTCTTTCCTTTTTTTTTTTTTTTTTTTTTTTTTTTTTTTCCCTTTTTTTTTTTTTTTTTTTTTTTTTTTTTTTTTTTTTTTTCCCGGCATGCTTCTATTTCTTTTTGTCATTTCTCCGGAAACTGGTAGTAGCCGAAGATTAATTCAAGGTTAGCACGTTAGTGGTCGTAGTCGGAGGGAAGGGTACTCTAATCTCGGGGCCATTTCACATCTGACGGGCGCTTGCTTGATCTGCTGCTAACAACCTTACCAAATCTGTGTAGGGTCGCAGCTTCGTTTGCGTTGCACTCATGCATCGGTGAATACTAGACAGTCCTGTCAGCCTAGGCACTTGCGGAGGCTAGTCGGCTCCATCGACGGAGATCATTATGGTGACTGGCCTGCCCGTCTGGCGCCAGATCTCTCTGAGTAAGGGCTAATGTAGTCACCAACGTAATCTACCCAGTCCTACCAGATGAGGTAAATGCATGCTATCACGACGCATGTCTACCGACTTTAGTCAGTGCGGGTTTGAAGGGGCTCCACCAGAGTGGCAGTGATGGAAAATGACAGACGAAGTACGGCAGCCTGGTGGTCGTAGTGATGAATTCAATCGAGGTGGTAATGGCTCATAAGAAACTTTAGTAGTACTGAAATCGACTCTGATTCGAAAGAGACTGGAACCACATAGGGTCAGAGACCGAGTGACCGACCATACACTTCAACCACACTTAAACTGCAACAAGGCGCGGATAAGGCAGGCCGAGATCCGGTCGAGGGACGGCTCCAACACTAAGCTATCATTGGAGTGGATACTGTGCGGAGATCGCCGACGATGAGGAACAAAGATAGTTTCCTTGTCCCTCTCTGCCAGTGGGGTCGGTTCTGAAAGCCTGACGATCGCGACCGGAGTAGTAACGGACTCAGGAAGAGCGTTGCTAATAATCCTTGATCTATTAATCTACTGTACCAAGATGACCGGCTTCGTCGACCGTCCATGGTTGTGTAGTGAACCGCTGGCGGTTACTTGAATGGGAATTCAGCGGACAATGTTGCTTGTCATGGCGTTTGCGACAAGGTGGGAAGGCAACGTGAGCAAACTAGTCGGTAGGCTAAGTTAGACAAGCAAGTTTAAGAGGTGGCATCTGCACGACTGACTCTCAGCCCCATCTAGTCCACTGAACTTGGTTAGAAGGACGGAGTAAGCCTCTGTGAGCGTGCCGTATACCCCGTTCAACGATCACCGTGATGGGAATCGCTATGAGGTCCGTCTGCTTTTGTGGCCCAGGAGGGTTTCGTATGGATTCAAGGGAGGAAAAGGAAGTAGGATAGCAGAATTATCCCGGGGATGAGGGAATTTCAGCTGCCTCCGCTTGTGTGCGGCCCAAGAATTGGATCCGGCGAGGAGGCAGGTCACCGGTTGAGACTAGCAGCGAGGAGAATGCACCAACGGACCCGACAGTTTGGTTGAGGGTGTGATAGTTGGGCATTAGTAGGCAGCCATGAGCGTTTTCCGTCTAGCTGAGGGGTTTCTGTTTTCTGGGTAGAGTGGATAGTCAAGAATCCTTGCAAGTGAGGCAATTGGCTTCTTAGCGAGCGCGGAAATCTCGCGAGGTTGGATGTCTGTCACTCCTTGAGGCACGGTAGGGAGGGAAGTACCACGAATGTACGATGAAGCCTCGAGTTGTGAGCAAAAAGCACTGACTCAGCCGGATCAAGATGGTTAGGCAAATCTTCAGTCTGTTTTAAGGTACAGAAGTAAGCTTACCTCTGGGTGCGTGCCTTCCCGTAGCCTCCTCCCATGAAGGGTTGTGCGATGGGGGGAGGAGAGAGGGGAAAAGGGGGGGGGAGGAGAAATGAAGGGTTGTGGCCCATATGGGAGGGGGGAAAGTGGAAGGTGGGTGTTGTGGAGGCACTCGAAGGGGCGGGCTACTTCCAAAGGTGTACTAGTCTAAAGGGGGGCCGCGCCTCTACTTCTCCCTAGTCCACAGTGACTCTGCGCCAGCTCTCTCATCAGTTAGTGCTACTCAAGTACCTAGGGACTAGGGATACTGATCGATCTCACTTGCCGGTGTCGATCGAACGGCCGTCAGTCTCAGAATGATGATACAATATCCATGATGTAGATTACAGAATCATACAGTACAGTACAATGCGATGGTGTGGTACGGTTTGCAAATAGATGACATGACAAGTATTGCTGTTTTTCTGGATGGCATGGCGTGCATTGGCGGCGGGGCCACCGCCATTTTTCTGTCACTGTGTCATCTCGCTCTCTCGCTCGCTTGCGCTTCAACTCTGATTGAGCGAGGCTGTTGTTGTCGACGTAAGGTCGCCATTCCTTCCTTGAGGCACAAGCACTTCATTGGCCTGTTACTGGTGTCATCTGAGGTTAAATTGGTGGCCAACTCGGCATGACTCGAGGGTGGCACGGCCATGTCGAACCAGACAACCTCAATAATAAACTCGCTAGGTTTGCGACGTTGGCTTACGTATCACACTACCTTTCGATTGGCAGCATGGTCTCGAACCAAGGTAGCTGAGCTACTTGCTAAGCGCCGGACTTTGTGGAGGTTAGTATGGTGTTTTCTTTTTTCCCACAGGTTAGAGCACCTGATGGGGGACCGGGACTCATGCACAGCGACTGTGCCGCATGTCATATCGGGAGAGGAGGCGGACACGCAGGCGGAACGTTAATCTATTGGTTATGTTGTGGAGTCTATGTGATGCACGATAGACTGACTCCCCCGGCCACTCATTTCGCAATGATATTGGTCTCTACCAGTGTCTGTTCTTGCTTAAAAATCAAGCACATCGCTGCTAGCCTTTCATCATGATTAGGGCGGTTGAGATGGGGATCCGAAAACAAAGTAAAATCTAGTTAGTTGCCTTGCGGCAAGGCTTGAAATAGAATCTTCTCCTTGTCGCTCAGTAGGGAAGAAAGCACAAGGCTAACGGATATAATTCCATCAGCCGTGCTATGTAGCCACGGTCAGGGGTCCGGACCGTCACTAACTGCAGCGGCGGAGAAAAGACTCCGTTTGAGGCGATTCGCCCCACGTGCACCGCAGCGGCAATGGAAGCCGATCCCGAGAGCGATACGACCTCAACTCAGGACTATTCCTGTAGACAGATCGAAGAAATGTTAGTAGAGAGCAGTATTGACGTCGTTGTTGTCGTTGTAGTCCTCGTTCTTCCCGCAGCTGACATTATTCTGCCCCAAATGAGGACGATTAGTGTGGGCTCAGGGACTTGAAGTTGACGACCAGACCAACGAAAGGTGATCTTGTCCTCTGACTCAGTGACTCCTGGGCGAACTATCCAATTGATAGCTTGACCTTTTCATAGTTCCTCGATCCTTCAAGAATCCACCACTGAGCCATGTTAGCTGGCTGTAACAGATGGGAATGAAGAACAAAGAAGAAAATCATTCGTCCGTGATCGATCATCCATCGATGATTGGTAAGACAGCCAACCAGTATCCTGATTGTGTCAGGCTCTGGCGTTCTTTTGGGAAAACCTCTCTTCCAAGAACTCTATATCTGATGATATAATCTGGGCCGGGTAATTATTGAAGAAGATTCCAGTCACGTCACCGAAAACTGCAGTTCTTTGTTCCCCTGTGCGGCGCATGATTCCACCGGAACCAAATAACAAGGGACAAGGCCCTGGCCATGGTCCCATGGCTCAGGCCCGCTCCATACCCACATTGGTAAAGCTAAAGTGGCGTTACCTGACTAGAACTGTGTGCCACGGATCCTGAAGATCAAACGTGGTGAACGTGGTCGGAGAAGAAATGAAAGGTCATGCCGTGGAAATCGACCTGGGGCTTGCCGCAGCGCAGAACCAACGAAGGATTCATCGCCCGGTTCGCTGCCGTGGGT